TTTACAACTGATAGCACTTTTGTTGTAAATACATTGCCAGTGGCACACATATTGCAAGTTGCTGCAACTGTAACTTTAAATTTATATTGTACGTAATGCTGTGGCTCAGTGGCTGAGGCTATTATCACGTACCTATCTCATTCTTTTGAGAATAATGGAAAATGGAGAGGATAAGTTACTGTCACTTAACATACTACCCCTCATTAAAGGGAACCAGCGTTACAAGTTAGTTGTTTACTATAATTCAGCAAATATAGCGAAAGCAAACCGATGAGATTGTACACAACGCAGTACAAGCAAAGTCTAAAGTTGGGGGTTTGTGTATTATCTTAATATTAATAGACATAAAATCAAAATTTAAATAATTAACACGTTATACATATAGAACGGTTATTAAGGCGTTATTAGCCCAAGCAATATTCATGTTTGTAGAACATGTGGGATTTGAGTAGGCATTGATAAAAAAGGAACTTGTATTGGCAAAAGGAGTTAAGAAAGAGCGAGGAAAAGTAATCGGATCGCATAGCTTAAACTTTATTGTGCTGTCGTTGGAAAAAGAGATCAATTAATTTGATTTTCCAACCATGTAGACAATTAGGACACTGCAGCAGGTGCTGTGTTTGCTTATTGGCTTGAATTTAGAGGGTTTTTTACTTCATGTAATCAAGGCTGTTAGCGAATCCTTTAAATATAAGCAATCAAATTAGTGAAGATATTAGATTCACAGTACAATTTACACCTTGCTACGGATAAGTGCCTATCAAAAGTGCATTTTCATTGAAACATACGTAATTTAAAACCGGTTAAGGGATGAATACAATCCATTTTTCAACGCGTTTTTAAATTATCGTGATAGAAAAACACCTGTGCGCTTGAAACCGTGTTAGGTTTCTGGTTCCAAACATTTACTTTTTGTTGACAAACGTAGATAATGGTTCCTAGTTTTCTGACACTTTAGGTGGATGCCTGTTAAGCATATTTTATACACCTCTCTTAATTTTCAGTTTACTACGAGCCAACGGAAAATTGGCAGTACTCAAGACCGACTGGCCACGGAAAAGCGAACTGGTAGTGATTTAAGGTTCTATTCTGGTTCCACTGACAACCGTACTTTTTACAACTACCCGAAACCAGCACATATTTTTCGAAAACACTCCAATTTATTTATGCTCATGAAATTAAAATATAAAGCACAATGAAAGAGCAGTAAGAAAAAAGAAAAATGAATCCTTTTAGTTTAATTTAATATTATTTACGCTACCTGGTCGCATATTTGGCCAAACTTAATTCCAATTACAAATAATTGACATTAACGTAACGGGTAATTTCGGCAGATTAAATTTTACTTACTAATAATAATGCACCAAATGAGTCATCATCAAGGGGGAATCAAGGAATATTTTTGTTATATTCGCCGTAAGATTGATATCTGTTGCAGGTAAGTGTAATACGTAATTTTAAAACCGCCAGGGGACGATTTTTTTTAATGAAAACATGTTTATTTTGAAAACAGTGATTGGATGAATTTGTTTACTACCGCATACAGAGTTGCGAATGATCTTAATCATAATCGAAAAATTGACAAAGGATAAGTACCAATTAAAGGAGATTCTTCATTAAGAAGAGTACGTTATTTCAAAACGGTTAGGGAGTGAATCATTTTGATTCACGAATAGAAAGTCGCTATTGGCTCCCTCCCTACTAATATTATTTAGAGAAATGAAGATATTAGTTGCACCTTAATATTGACACCTGTTTAGTGGACAAGTTCCCACTAAGAGATTGTTTCATATAAAGAAAATTTATTGTTCTAAAGAGCGTTGCGAGTGTACTCTTCAAGGTAAATCGAACAAAAAGGCAAAGATAATTGATACAGCACAAAAAATGTTATGAAAAAAAAACAAAGACAGAATTAAGGCACACGGAAACGGAAGCGACTTTCCAAAGCAGAAACGAACGCACAAATTAAGTAACGGTATCCAACGGGACCCAAAACAAAGCAAAACAAACTCCCTTTATGATGAATGGAATGAAAATATCAAGCGCTTACCTTGAAATTAAACGGTACTGTATAATGCAAAATTGTACGAAATTGACACGAAAAGCCAAAACGAAACAAAATCCTCATAAACCATGGTTACCTTTTGGTGATCTTTTGATGGTCACCGGATTTTACAGCCGGTCGGCGTACTTTTTTAATTAATTTCTCGGTTTCCAGTCATTATAAAAATCTGGGACTAGTCTTAATACCAATGCTTATTAAGCGCGCTTCGTTTGATACCTAAGGTTTGCTGCAACACATCTAATTAGCGACGGTTAATTATGCTTATTTCGTTATACTAATTGACGTTCATTGTAACATGGAATTTTGGGTTAACCGCACAAGGTCAGTACTTGTTTTGAAATCACTCTCATCTTTCAAATAACGAGAGCTTTTGAGGGCTGCAAGCATAATAAATGGAAAGTACTAGAAAGCTCAATAATTAGGTACGGTATCTCCGTTTCCTTATCGGCCACTAAAACGACAAATTAAACCAATTTTTTTACCTTCTATTTCTAACTCTTAAAAAAGAAATAAATACGGGGTGTTCACTAAAGCTGGTGGCTTTCGTCCGTGTATCTGGCGTTCATTAATTCTGATATAATTCGTCCTCCCTTACATAGTTTTCATCCATAAATTGTTAATCTATTATTTACGCATATGTAATCAATTAAACAACTGAAAGTGCAATGCACCGTAAAACTGATACGTCTTGGGCTAGTATAGTATAGGTAGTAATGCCAACTAGGAGAGAATTGTTATGGAAAAATCCAATATTTGTATACGGGTAGGGGAAAAATTACTTAAATCACACAGCAAACTCTTATAGAGTTAATCAATCCATGAAGTGAAAATATCTGAGGTTCCGTAAAATGAATAATCCTTGCAATGGTAGCACCAACTAGGAGAGAACTTTCTCTAAAAAAACGTAATTTAAAAAATAGTTGGGGGATATTAGGCGACACCTTTCCAATGGAGAAGTGACAAGCAAGGGAGAACTTTTATAAAAAAATAAGTAATTTCAGTGATTAGATGATAATTTTTGGATGATTAACGGCTAGAGGGTGGCTACTGTACCCTGAATAATCATTGAAAGGAATGAATATATTAGATGCGCTGTAATATGCATATACCCTTTTCGGTGGAAAAGTGCGAAGTATAAATAAAACCTTCATAAAAAACGTAATCTACAAAAATTTAGAGGGTGAGTAATAATTTTTGGATGATTCACGGCTAGAGGGTGGCTACTGTACCCTTTAAGCATAATCAACGAAAGGAATGAAAATATCGGTTAATAACGGTTAAGGGACAATTTCTTTATTTCCGTGTAGGAAAATAGACAAACCTTGTAGTGGATAAGGTGCCAATTAAACGGAGTTTTACTAAAGAACTACAAGTGGGTAGGAGCGTAGCAGCGTTTATTGATATATACAGAATCACGTAAAGGTAGTAGAGCTCTAAATCACGGAAAAGGCACGTTGCTCATTGCTAGGAAAATCTAAATTTGCGATTTTCAGTTCTGACTTAATTCTAATACACGTATAGGATCAAATCAAAACAAAGGATAATTGCGCGTCAGAATCAAGAACAGAATGGCGCTATATACCTACATGTGGGTCTTGAGTAGGAAGTTCTATTAGTAAAAGAAATTAAGATACGGCGAAGAAAATAAATGGGAATTGCTTAGTTTATACCTTGTGCTGTTGTTGGAAAAAGAGCTTTGTAATTTGATTTTCGAACCGTGTACACAATTAGAAAACAGCAAGTGCCGTGCTTAGAAAACAAACTTCAATTTAGAGCGAAATGCCGGCGTGGTACAGGTCACAATTTTTGTAAATTGCGACATGACTTTCCCTCAGGTGAAAATAGAGTTCAATTGGGGCCATTCCAGGTACGTTGCGCTACAATTACGTCATAAACTTCTGGTGTATGTAACGTACAAGTTGCTCTAGTTCCCAAACAGCTTTTGCTCCGAGGCCAATATACGCCAAGAGTTGTTTATCAAACTCCAGGCCTCCCCAAAAATGTATTACTTTCCTACAGTAAATCAGGGAGGTGAAATTGTGTTTAGCGGAGATTAATTTGTACACGTAGGTACCTCATTATTTACTTTTAATTAAATTGCCAAATTTCGTGCCGAGACTTCTGATTATGTCAAAAGCGTTAGAGTTACAACAAAGCAGAACTTGCGAATACCTCATAATCTTGAAGTTCATAACGACATTAACTGTTCTGACAATTATTCTTAATGGAAATAAGATTTGATTGCGTAATATTTCCTCTCAAATCTGACTTAGCCATTTATGAGAAAAATTAAAATATTGACTTAATGACACGTTTACTACAAAAGATCTCTACAGCCATTGTACTCTTTATTCTCTGAAGTTTGGCGCAAGGAATTAACGCTCGAAACATTTTAGAAGCCTCCAAACTAGTGATACATACACGCATTACTTGTAATTGATTAAATTATTCAATTTTGCCTCTACAAAGTACTCATTCATCGTACTCAAACTATAAGTAGATTATTCTGATGATCCTCATTAAGTATTGTAACGTTATTTATAAATTCGGGTTCGATTTATATCAATATTTATTAAACAAAACTAAAACACTATTAAAACCGTACAATTTATATCGATTATTT